AAAGACCAAAACAGCTGAAAAACCATACCCTTTGGGGCCACACATACCTACACTGTGTATAGCTCATAAAAGGGAGCACTCCCCCCCCACCCAGGGTCTCTTGCCTCTGCTTCATTGTACATGTAGAAAATGTTCACATGCCAACAAAGCTGATACATGTACATGTACGTAATGCCCGCCCAAAATATCGCTCTTGCTTGCAAGTCCAAAAGGTCCATGTATAGGTAATAGCTGCACTGTTTAGATTTTCACAATTTTATTTATTTCCTCGGAAAGATCAGATCATTACATTGGAGAAACAAAAGTGCATATTAATAAATTTTGCAACAAAAAGTACCTGGGCAAATGCTTGAAGTAGCCAGTGACTTGCGCAGGGCGCCGGCTTACATGTATTTGGAAAACCCTGACTTAATTCAATTCGATTAACTCAATTATTAGAAAACAGCCCTAACAAAATATGTGCGCTGAGTGGTTAAAAATCGTGTTTCTTTAGCTCGATAGAGACACAGAACTAGCACAAGCTGTCAACGTAATGATGGCACAAGCAAAGAGAATTTACATTTTGATAATCAAAGTTAACAAGTTGTTTTCCCTTTTATCGTCGTGGTGTTTTCTAAAAGAAATAGAAAACATGTTCTTTGTGTTTCTATCGAGTTATAGAAACACTGAAAGTTTGGGAGAACTCGAAATAGCTGTGGAAACACTTGCCTGCAGCTCGTGTTCCCACAGCATTTCTCGTTCTCCCAAACTTCCACTTGTGTTTCTATGACTCGATAGAAACACAGTACATGTTTTCTATTTCTTTTAAGAACATTTAAAAAATGTGACAGACTGTGGTGATTTAGATCACTTGGCCTGATGCAGACTTTACCTTAACCTTCATACATGTACATGTACTGTAGTCCAAACTCACCTTAGTGGGGTTAAACCTTAAAAAATCTGACGACTTATTTGTAATTGTGTAGGTTGTAAAACTTAAGAGATGAAGGGTGTAATAATAGCTTGACACAGTTCCCATTTCTTACTAGATGCAAACCAGAAAGCTGTGCTGTGTGCTCAGACTTGTGTGGAGAAAGATTCATATTGAAGCAATAGATACCATATCAGGTGAGTCTTTGTGTCTTTTTGTGTGTGTGT